CTATGCCGATTAGTGCTGTATATGGAAAGACCGGGTAATGCTCATTCCACAGGTAAGGTTAGCTCTTAACCGTTTATTATTCTGTCAGCACTGGCTCTGCATAATTCAGAAACACTCATCAGGAATTTAGATTAGAATAACTGGAGTCAGAGGAGAAATGCACCATTTAACTCATACACTTTTAAACTGGTTTGCAAATCTGGTGGATGGTCTGAAGCCTATACCACGCCTGTGTGTGTATAACATTAATTAAACTAATTAACTATAATTTCAAAAACTTTTAATAACAATTCTTTATTTTTAAAACTCTGAATTATCTTTCCAGTGTTTCTATAAGCAAGTCTAATTGTCATTAAAAGGAATGCCTACATCACAATATGTAAAGTATGAACAAAAGTCCCCTAATATATTATTATTTATTTATTAGATTTATATCTTACTTTTTCTGACAAGAACTCAAGGTGGCTTACATCATTCTCCTCTTGCTCTCCCACAACAACCCTGTGAGGTAGGTTCAGCTGGTGCAAAGTCACCCTGTTGGCTCCATAGCAGAGTGGGAACTAGAACCCAGATGGCCTGGGTCCCAATCCTGTGCTCATAACCACTACACCACACTGAATCTAGATAGAACTAGCTTTAATGTACATGTTAAAAGCTGCCAAGTCAATAGGTGAGGAACATCATATTTTAAAAAGGGTGCTTTCACTCCGATTTTTTGAATCTTTCAACTCTGCATCATTAGTTCTGAATGCAGGTACTCTGAATAGAAAATATTGCACGCCGTTCATACTGATACTACTGGTCTAAATCTCAGAACGCGTTGCTGTGATTTCCATTGCTTTAGTTCTCCATTAAGAGAAGAAAAGCGGGGCGCTGTTTTGCTAAGGAGGCTCAACTCCCAGGCACAATTAGGAAACCTGATCTCTGTAAAGACCACAGAAGGGAAAGCTCTAGTGCAACCATTCCCAACTTTGGCTCCCTGATGTTGTTCGGCCATAACATCCATCATCCCTGACTGTTGCCCAAGGCTGGCTGGTGTGATAGAAGTGCTAGTTAAGCATCTTTGCAGAGCCAAGGCTAGAGCCACTGCTCTGGTACTGTGATAGTCAGAAGGTGGGTCAGCACAGATTTCCCACTTCAGTAGAAACTGCAAGCACAAAAGGCTTCTCTCCCTCCTAAGTTAAGTTTGGGAGAAAATGGGAGCAGACTTCTTTGGGAGAGGATTTGTTTGCTTGTTGCAATTCTGGAAGAGAAAATTAATTCCTGGGTTAAGCATGTGGTTAGAAGCATCTTGCCCCTCAGCTCTGTCAACCTTCCAGCCAGCTGGTAAAGGACTAATGGAAAGCAAGGTTGAAGCTACACTCCTAAGTTGGCCTGCCCTACCCTAGTGCTTTCACCACTATGAAAGTCTACACCCCGTGATCTCCCCATGCTCTTATGCCCATGCTCCAGACAGAAAAACCAAGAGCAGCCTCACAGAGGGACAACACAGAGACCATTTTCTGTCTGTGATGCAGCATTCAACCCAGGGAGCACTTGTTCTGAGTCAAACCACTGGCTATTATCTTCAATGAATCTTGAAAATCAGGAGAAGTACCAGACGACTGGAGAAGGGCTAACATCAAAGGGGGGAGGGGGGGAGAGCCTGGGAACTACAGACCAGTTAGTCTGACATCAATCCCTGGAAAAATTCTGGAGCAAATTATTTTAAAAATCCATCTGCAGGCATCTTGAAGAAAATGCAGTGATTATTAGAAGCCAGCATGGATTTATCAAAAATAGATCTGTCAGACTGATTTAATCTCATTTTTTGACTGGGTAACCTCCAAATGGACAAAGGGAACACTGTGGACATACGTAATCTACCGAGACTTCAGCAAAGCTTTTGACATAGTGCCACATGACATTCTTGTAAGCAAAATAGAAAAAAGTGGACTAGATAGAAAAACTGTTAGGTGGATCCAAAATTGGCTGCTAAATCAAACACAAAGCATGTTCATCAATAGCACCTTCTCAAATCAGATGGAGGTAACTAGTGGAGTGCCACAGAGTTCAGTCCTGCGCCCAGTGCTCTTCAACATCTCTATTAATGATTTGGATGAGGAAGTACAAGGATAGATGATCAAATTCGCAGATGATACAAAACTGGACAGAATAGCAAACACCCTAGAAGACAGAATGAGGATACAGGGCCATCTTGATAAACTTGAACACTCGGTTGAAAGCAACAGAATGAGTTCAATAAGGACAAGTGCCAAGTCCTCCACCTAGGAAAAAGAAACCAAAGGCATCGATACAAGATGGGGAATACGTAGTTCAACAGAAGTGAGGGGGAAAAAAGATATTGGAGCAATTGTGGACAACAGGCTAAACATGAGCCAACAATGTGATGCAGCTGCCCAAAGGCCAAATGCTATTTTGGAATGCAATAACAGAAGTATTACTTCCAAATCACAAGTAGTAGTAGTTCCCCTATACTCCTCATCAATCAGCCCTCATCTGGGCACCAAGATTTAAGAAAGATGCCGGTAAATTAGAAAGGGTCCAGAGGAGGGCAACAAAAATGATCCAGGGTTTGGAAACACTGTCCTATGAGGAGAGGCTGGAGAAGAGAAGAAACGTGGAAACAGAGTGAGTCAGAAGGGGCTTCCCGGGCCATCCAGTCAGACCCCCGGCTCCACCCAGTTCCGCTCATGACATGCCCACCACATGCATGAACACAGAATAATCAATTCGAGCTGTGACAACCCAGATTCAGGTTAGATATCAGGAAAGGCTTCTTCACTGTCAGAGCCATATGACAGTGGAACCAATTGTCTAGAGCAGGGGTCTCAAACTCAACTTACCTGGGGGCCGCTGGAAGTAGAGTCTGGGTGAGGCTGGGCCGCATCAAGTACTCCACCCCCGCGGTGGTGGTGGTGGGCCGCTCACCCGGAAGGCCTCAGGGCTCCTCCCCCGTGCCCCGCCTGTCCTGGCAATCGGCCCGCGGGCCACAAATTTGAGACCCCTGGTCTAGACACCATGGGCTCTCCCACACTAGAGACATTCCAAAAGAAACTGGACACAGTAACTTGGTGTCCTGCAACAGCTGGGGATTGGACCCGATGGCCTTATGGCCCCTTCCAACTCTACTATTCTATGATTCTATGATGAAAAGAAAGACTAAGATTCTGACATGTGTGGAATGTGTGCGCGGAACCAGAACTTTGCTGCCTTAACTTCTGAGCCATCAGAGTTCTGCTCATACTGCAGTCCTGAAAAATTAAGCCTCATCTTCCTGTTACCAAGACCAGCCTGCCTGATCATTCAGTCAGCTGACTGTAATGCACACACCTGGTGCATCGGGTGTATAAAAGCCTTGGCATTAGAGCTGGTTAGGCTAAGCAAAATGTTTTTAGGATGAGGGTTTTCTTTTTCCTCACTGCTGCCTTGGATCTTGACCTTGGCCTGCTGCTGGTAATGTACCTGCTTTGGGCTCTTCTTGTCCAGGAATCAAAATCAAAACTGGGGTAGGCAACTGGTAGCCCTTAATGTTTGTTGTTGTTTTTTAAATTGGCCTACAACTCCTGTCATCAGCTAGCTATGCCCTATCAGAGTTGTAAACCAAACCATCCGGGGGCTCCGGTTGCCCAGCCCTGATCTTCACCTTTGCTCTGAAATTCAACACCTGCTTGCTTCAGACCATGTACCTGCCTCGTGCTCAGCTGAATAGACTACTGCACAGGTCCAAGAATTTGATAGCCTGCAGATTGACTGAACTGAGTCTTGGCACTAAAGCAGGGAAAGTTTATCTCCAGTGTTGATGGAAGAATCAGAATTGCTTCATTTCAAAGAGCACTTGAAGATGGTGAGAAACTTTTTCTCTTCCCTTCTCCCTGATTTTTTCCAACAATCTTGTGAGAGAGGTCACTGTTATACACACTTTACCTAGGGAGCAAGGGAAGCCAAGGGATAGTGGTCTGGATGTGTAGTTGTCAGTGTTTTGAGTTTCAGCCTCTCTTTTTAGCAACACTGCAAATACTTTCCCTGATCCCTGATTATACACAGTCTAGGCTTTAAAATACCATTGCCTACTCCCCACTTCCTGAGGAGGCTGCCCATGCAGTGGTGAGAAGCATCTGGGGTAATGCTTTGGGGTTTGGTTTACTTTGGATGAGAGGGCCTTGGTGGACATTACAGTCTTGTTGACAAACCTCAGGAGTGGATGGAAAAGGCTGGAAGGGCAACTCAGTTGCTTTTGCAAACCCAGAGCAGCCCTCCTTGTCCTGGCCATGAGACTGTGCAAGCACTGGAAACCAGGCAGTTTCCTTTTTTCTTGCAAGGAACTCAAGCCAGCTTGCATAGTGCTTAGCCCAATCTGATGCTCACAACAACAGCCCTGCATGGTAGGATGGGCCGAGACACTGTGCCTGGCCCAATGTCAGTCGGTGAGCTCCACGGCCAGGTGGGGACTAGAACCCGGATCACCCCAGCCCCAGCCCGGCACGCTTAATCGCTGCCCCACACCGGCTGTAGGAGCGTTTGGGGCTTCACCCGGTCCCGCATTCAAAAGCCTCGTCAAAACAGTGCAAGGGGATGGAGCAGGGCAGGCAAGTCAGGAGGATCAGCCTGCTGAAGTCAAGGGCCCGATCCGCCGGGATGGCGTCTGTGTGCGCAACTGGCAGTGCTGCTCCTCGGGATTGAGGGGAAAGGCGGGGCGGGGGGAGCTTCCTGGGCAGCCCCCCTTGCCTGATCCAACCAGGAGACCTGGGGGCGGGGGGGGGGCGGGAGGGAGGGAGGGAGCGGGGGAGCCCCCGAGGAGGGGAAGCCGCAACCAGAGCGCGGCCGAGCCCCGTGCGCACGTCCCCTAATCGGGACGGGCTGGGTCAGGCAGCGCGGAAGAAGCACTCCGCCTGCGAGCGGCCGCACTGGCAGGGAGACGGCGCTTCCGGGGAAGGGACTTCCTTGCCACTCCTAAGATGGCCGCCGGAAGGGGAGGTGCGGCTCTTTCCTGCCCTTCTTCCCCGGAGGGGACCGGGGGAAGACCCGAACGCTCCTACTTTCGGTGTACACATTAAGTATACAATAACCTCTGTCTGCACAAATTCTGCACCTTTCCTAATGGTGATAAATAATAAAATAATAGCATTTTTAGAGACTTAAAGGTCCAATAGCTGTCGAGAAGACATGCCTTCCATTCGGTATCCTCCACTTTCTGCAACAGCCCTGTAGATCCATTTGCCCGGTAAATGAAGTGTTTTTCTTGTCGGTCCCCGACCAGCCTCTATTCTTTTATTCCATTTATTCTCCCGTTATTTAATGTTTAATTGCTTTTAATTGTGAATTGGTGGATGCTGTGCCATTTTATCTGTCCTTGTTGTAAAGCGTCCGGAAGCACTAGTAATGTGACAGGGTATAAACGCTTTAAATATATTAAACCGATCGATCAATCAGTCAATCGTTTGACTAGTTACTGGACCAGTGATTGGACCATTGACTTGTAACAACTTGCCTTTGTGGTGTATTCCACAGTGTGGGCTGCAGCACCCACTCCCCAGTCTGCAGTGGGCAATGAAAGGTAAGGGCAGGAATGCCCCTTCCTCCAGCTAATGCCCTTTCTTGAAGTGCAGTAGTTAGAACAAGTCACAGAGCTGAAAGTGCAAAGTCAACACAATAGGAGCCTGGAACGTGAGAGCAGGAAAATGAGGAGGGGTTCAGGATCAGCAAAGTGTAGCAGGCAGGGAATTAGCACTTTACATCACGGGGATAAGTCTTAAATCACAAGAGTACAGTAAACTTCTGAATCTAATGCAAGTGAAGTCGGCATAGATGTGACGCTTAATTTACTTTTTATACTTACAATTTATGAAGAAGAAGTTAAATCATAAAATAACAAAGGGGCATGCAGCCCCAAATATATATGACAGGTTCAATTAATAAAATTTCCTTATTTGAAAAGGAAATTTTCAACAGCAATAAATTTTCAGCTTCGTTGTGAGGGGTCAGACATGCCCGTCTTTGCCAAAGTCCACCCAAGCTCAGAGTGTGAATATATACAACTCTGCAGGCTCAGTAAAGGTTAGTGGGATGGTTTTCAGATATATGGACAATGGCAGGACATCCCTGAGAATGAAAGAGCCTAATGTCAAGAGCACGGCACTCTAATCTCATGAATCTCAGCCGTGCCAGTGAAGCTATATTTACACCAGGTCAGACAACATCTTTATGTCCTACCTGGTACTTGGTTTTTCTGGGTGGCTCCAAGGTGAGCAAGTTCATAGCTAATTTTAAAACTCACCAGAAAACCTAGCAGCATGATTTAATACTAATTTCTAGAGATACTGTGGCACACAATGTATTAACTGATATAGCATCCCTTATTAAAATTTTAGTTATTGTCCTGTTTTTCAGTGGGACAAGTTTTGTTTCAGTGATGGTTGACGATTTCTACCTCAGACAAAACGACATGAGAAGCTGAAAAATAACCGCTGAGGAAAAATCAGCTCTGAAACACACTTCACACCACGTCATTCTTTTGCTCAGTTTCAATGAGTCAGCCAATATGCTGCAAGGAAAGTCCCCATGTTCATTTCGGAGGGCAGTGGGTTCTGACATGGGCTCCGTTCATGTGCAATTTGACCCATGGGACCCTCGTTTAGACTCTGGGTTCCTTCTCAGCACAGCTAGCACCCAGCTTACGGTCCCATGTAGCTCCAGCAGAGAACATGTTGTTGATCACTGTCTGATGCTCGTTGTTTTTCTGATGACTGCTCTGGGATATCAAGTGCATGGTCATTGTTTTTGGAATCCTGGAGCAGTAACCCTCACTGCAAACAGGAGATGTGGCCTTCGTGTGAGACTCTTCTCGGGGACTTCTGATGCTGACCGTCTACTTCATGGGTGGAAACAAAGGGAGGACGTCAGCCTCTACCCCACCAACACTGTGCTCCTAAATTTAACTCAGATTTGATTTAACCCATCAAAAAATAAACCATATCAGCAAAATTGGTAAAACTGTGTGCAGATTGAGAACTGAAGGGAAGGATTTTCTTAGGTGGCTTTTGCCTGAGGTAGGCTTCAAGAGAACTACATTGTCACATGCCATAAAGCCGCCATTTGCATGAAAAGAGTGATGGAAAATGTGTATACTTACTCCTGTGTTCTCTTCTGTAGCCAGAAACTTCACACCAGAAATGATCTCTCAGCGATTGTCCTTGAGATGGCAAACAGATGATTTTGACAGTGTTGGTCTCTTCCTTCCTGGCCAAAGGAAGGTCTGATCCTTATTAAGGCTAAAAGTGTCATAAAGAGGGTGTGTTAAGTAAGCTTTCCAACATGAACTCTGATGTTCAGAACTAGCCATTCTAACTCTTTTCCCAGATAACACAAATGAGCAGGTTAGCTCACCTCCATTCATTTTGCCCCTTCCCAGTGTACCTCCCAAAAATAACAAGAGACTTCCACAAAAGGGCAATCTGCAAGGATTGCTCAGCTTATTCACTCTCCAATACAGAAAATATTCATAATGCTAGAAATGTGTTCTGTAAAGGTTCATAATATGAAAAAAGGATCAGTGCCAAGTATTACTGCTTCCAGATTCACACCATTTGCTCGGAGAGGGCCTCTGACACCCATGCTGCGTTGGGGCATTCCATGGTGTGCTGGAAGTGGTGTCTGGGGCAGGCAGGCACCCAAAATCAGACCAAGATGCCCAAAATCAGCCCACAACACCCATCCATGGGTCATGGCCCCAAAAGTGGCCAAAATGGGCAGGTCGGAGTAGATGATGATACTAATAACAACATTCATTTAGTGTTATCTTCCTTGCTGGTTTTTGGGATTGAATTTTGAGGTTTTGCAAAACTTTGAAGCATTTCTTTGACTTTCATCATGTGTCTTACTAACTAGAATTGTGGATACTCTTGCTGTTAGATATAACAAGTACATGAAGGCATCAAAGCAAGGTGTCTGTTTTTTATGATGTAAGTACTGTCAAATGACTAGCTTAAATTTCATTTTGTAAATTTTATTCCTTGGGATGATAAACCTCAGCTTAAAAATAAATCCGTATGCCTTACAACTGTATGCTGCTTATATACAATGTTAATTTCGCCCCTCAGGAAGTGTTTAAGGAGAGGATTGGTTATGCCCATCTATTTGAGGTCCTAAAATCTATGGGTCAGCCTTCATGGGAACTACTTGAAGAACTTATGAATATGGTAAGATGCATGCTTGTTTTGCCTGTTGCTTTCAGTGGGTTAGTGAGGTAATTTTGTTGGCCTTGTAGAGGTTTTATGCAGTAAAGCCCATGTCATCAGATGCTTGGAGTAGAATCCCCAGCTTGCGTATGCACGTGAGCACACAGACGTGTAATGATAATACCTACAGAGGAAACAAGTGTGAGGGTCTGAGGCATTTCTTTGCAAAGTCAAAATATGCACAGGATAAGAAAGCTTGGTGGAGCAGGACAGGGACCTGGAAAACCCGGGTTCTGTGTAGTCCCTACTCAGCCATGGAGTTGAGCGACCCTGAACACTTGGTCAGTCACTGACTCTCAGCCTAACCTACTCAGAGCACTGCAGTGCAGAGGAACTGCAGGAGGAGCATGGATGCTGCCTTGTGTCCCTTGCAAAACATATGATAATGATATTAATTAATAATAATAATACATAGAGTTTCTTGCCTTGCCTTGAGTCTACATAGAAATGTCCTAAATTAACTCCCTTTTGATCTCATTCTTTATGTTTTCTGTGTGTACCAGTATGTATAGGTATGTGTGTGTTGCAGTGTGTGTGTGTGTGTGTGTGTGTGTGTGTAGCAGAGGTGTTGAACATCAGGCTCATGGGCCAAATCTGGCCTGCCTCAAATCCCAGACTGGCCCTCTAATATGCCCCTGGTGGCCGTGCACCTTTCCCTTTTCCCTGGCCGCTGAGCTTTGGGTGGTTTCCTGCCTGTTGCATTTTTTTCTCCATCCCAAAAGGCTGAAACGTTCTTTCTGGGGGCTTATTTATTGGCAGCCAGAGCTCTAAGCTGAACTGTACTAGTGGTGTGGATATATGGCCCATGCCTGCTTTTTTGCCTTGCCTGTTACTAGAGCTTCTCCAAAGAAGCCTTGAGCTGAAGGAAGTTTAATACCCCTTAGAGTGTGCTCGCAATCTGCCCAGTGTAAGCCCTACTCAATGGAAGAATATTCCACCATTTCCAGAGCCATCTTGTAGCAAAATTCTTGTGGCACTTGAGAAGACTGATCCGTTGCAGCATGAGTGTTTGTATGCTAGAGCCCAGTAGTGGTGCAGGAGCCCTCTCAAAGCTCAGCGGCAAAGCTTGTGCCACCACAGACCTGTCCTTCAGGTGCCACCAGGTTGCTTGTTGTTTTGGTCTACTAAAATGGTTTCTGCCCTTGCTGCTCACAAGTAACCCTGCTCCACTTGCTTTCCACGAGGCTGTTGAAGGTGACCACGCCTCAGCTGGGATGTTGGGCATCAGTAACGTTCAGCCCTTGCTGCTGCTGATCCAGTGGCTTCCAGAGCTGGAGTCGTGTGATCTTCAGGTCTTCATCTCCAACCTGCTGAAGCGAATCTGTTGCCTGAACCAGCAGAGCTGGGCCACCTGCGTCAATACAAACATGGTCATCCATATCATCAAGACACTCAGTCAGCACGCCCTGCCGCATGGAGCCTGTGCAGAGAACCTGATCACCCTCTTGGGTGTTTTGGGCAGCCAGTCCATGAGCTCTGAAGAGCTGCACCAGCTGATCAGGCTGCTGAGGACTAAGGACCCGAAGCAGACCCATCCTTACGCCGCCCCCGTTATGCTCTCAATCCTGACGATGGCTCGCAAGCAAGGCCTGGACAGTGCCTTGCAGTATTTTGACTTGTCGCATGGCATGGCTGGCATCGCAGTCCCACCGATTCACAAGTGGCCGGGCTCTGCATTTGCCTCCAGTGCTTGGCTGTGCTTGGACCAAGAGCAAATGGTCCCTGGGCCCAATGGCAAGGGAGGCAAGAGGAAGCAGCTCTACAGGTAGGCCTGCTGTCTGTAACACTGGAATGCGGGAAAAGCTCCTTCATCATCGTGGTCTCCGTGCAGCACACATGGGTGCTGTGCCTGTGCAGTGCCTGTTTTCGGGAAGATTCAGCTCAAATGGTTTTTGCTGGGAACTCTGCTCCCCCATCCCCTAATATAAATGGGTGGAGTCCCTGCCCTCTTGGCTCCCCATCTAATCTATATTTTACTGTTTAAGTGGTTCATATTATTATTACTTTTAACTGAGAAGCTGGCAAAGTGCTGTCCCCCAATGCCATCTTCAGAAAGGGGCTTTGGAGCTCGACTGCTGCCTCAGCCTTGCACTTAGGTTCCTGGGCAAGGAACTTTTCGTTTGCCTGTGGGAAGTGGGTGTTCCGTGGCAGGCCATGGCCACCATTTTATGAATGGGCAAGCCTCACCCCCGTGGCAGCCATTTTATGAGGGTGCCTGCAATGTTCCCTTGTGCCCATCTGTTTGGGGACTGTGTAGGCAGTTGTGGCTTACTTCCACCCTGCTTGCATTCTCATGGCTACACACCTGGCCTCTTATCCGAAGCAGGATGCTAGCTTAAATTGGCCCTTGGCATTGCATTGTTCTCGGTCAAGAAAGGCTGGCATGTGAGAGAAGACAAGAGGGAGCGTGTGAGTTCGGGAGAGGGCTGGAGAGAGGCGGGCTCCCTGACCCCTGTGGATACTGCACAACTTCAGCCTGGGAGGCAGTGGGGGAGTTAGTGTAGGTGCCAGGATGGAAAGGGAAGAAGGTCTGTTTGGGTAAGGTAGGCAGGGCCCATAATATAAATAAGCATTCTCTGTTTGATATCACAATCATCACGGCCGTTAGAAAATCCCACAGCTAGCTCAAATAGTCATTTTGTCGTCATGCTTGGAACGGCTTAGTGACCCATATACAAGCTGAATCAAATTGCACAAGTGCTTCTCATGGAGTCCTGCTGGGAATCTGATCGTGACCTGCTGGGGAAGAGTGCCACCTATTGAAATGCCCACCAAAGTCCTGTATGTTAAGAGGCTGCTCCCGAAACCCCAGCTTATACGCCATTGTAGTTGCTGCAGGTCATTGGAATTGCAGCTCTGGGTGAAACAGCAAATTTTAGGAGGAAATCTGCATTTTGCCCGCAGGGGAGGCAGGAGAACCCCTGGCCAAATCACCTGTGCGTTGCATGGTGAAGGAGCCAAGATCCTGCAACCTCCATTAAGCTCAATATCAGGAAACCTATTGGGAGAAGCTTTCCTCCTAAGGTCACTTATTTTGTGGCACTGCCGAAAAACTGCGAGAGGTGCCGAGGTGCTGAACCGTGTCTTGAAATATTATAGCCCCAGACATCCTCCCTCCATCTCTGTTGTGGGTGCAGAACCTCCTGCCTGTGGGCTGAATGAAGCCCATGGAGATGTCCCATCCGGGCTGCAGCATCCTGTAAGGCTCCAGCTCCGTATTGTACTTTTCCCCCTTAAAAGCAGCTGAGCAGAAAGGGAAAATAGGCAACAGAGAGCTGAGTGCTGGATTGCAGAGAAGGTGACATTTGGATCTTTGTAGTGCATTTTCCCTCACTGCTCACCTTTCTAGTGATCAGCCTTAGCAAACTGAGATCTCCCTTTCCCTGTGATCTCCCCATCCTGCCACTCCGTTGATGGATTGGTGTGTCTTGGCAGGGATGCCCACTGCCTTTGTCCCTGGCACTGCTGTCCATCGAGAACTTGCCCATGGGTCAATATGGCTTTGGGGCTCCAACCCCGCTCCCAATCTAAATGAATGAGTCTACATCCAAATGAGTCCTGGGACCCCCATCTTGAACGTGTGCCTCCAGGGCTTTATTTTATTTTTTTTAATTTACTTGCATTCACCTTGTGTACTTCTGTGCTGCTGACCGGTGTTCCTTAAACCTCTTGCCAACCTCTCTTTGTAACTTTTTTACAGGTAGTGGGATGGGCTTTGAGTCATTCATTACTTGCTCGTGGTTGCTGTATGTACAAAAAAAGAGTATGCCACAGTGATGCTTTCAGACCACTGCTTCAGCGATTCGCTCTGGGTAAGTGGGGGTGTTTCAGCTGGCTTGTATCAGCCCTTCGAAAGGTGGGCTGGGTCTCCATTGGGAGCTGCAGGGATTCGTCCTACAAGGCAAGGTCTAAAACTTTGAACTTAGCCGCCAGATTCATTAAGACAGGAGTAATAGCTATGTAATCTTCTGTGCTGGCCCTGCCAGTCCCAAGATAAGTGTAGGTCCCGCCAGTTATATCAAAAGAGGTGCCATGGAGTACATGGAGATTAGGCATGGAAAGGAGCTCCAAGAGATTTGACCCATACTTGTTTACTACTGAATCCTTTGAAGATCGGTCTAGAAACTGGACATGCCTAGTACACTGAGCATGCAGGTCATATCCTTCCTCAAAGATGCCCACTCCTATTCTCGCATTAAAATCCCCACATAGAATAACATGTGCGTATGGGAAACGAGATATTAGCGAGTCTAGCGTATCAGTTAAATGTCCCAGATGCAGCCCCTACTTGAGAAAGGTGAACTCTTAGGTGGAATGTAGACGTTTACACATAGTAAACTTCTAAAATAATTACCCTTAAGGAGTAGGGTCTGGAAATTACTGGGACAGTTGGTCTCTATAACCTGGATGTCAATGTTTAGGTCCACTGATACCAGTGTAGCCAAGCCTCCACTTTCTCGCCCCTTTGAATGAGTTTTGGTTGCAGGGACAAAATAAGTCCTGAACCCCTGAATATCCAAAGAATTGGGGTTCATAAGCCATGTTTCTTGAAGGCATAATACATCAAAGCCATGGATGAATGTTATAAAATCAGAGTCATAAAGCTTATCGTGCCAACCCCCCAGATTCCAAGAAAGGGACTCAAGTCGTCCATCTGCATTTAGTATCTTATTTTGGACCTCATCAGAGACTCTGAAAGAGGAACCATACTTTGGGGGGCCCTCCACCACTCCAACACTGGCTGCAGGAATGAGGACAGGTATGCTCCATCCTGCCTTCCCTTGAGTAGAAATGGAGGAAGTGACTTCTGGGTTTCTTATATTTGCCCTCAATGGAGTAAGAGGAGTTGGAAGTGAAGCAGTGTCAGGGCAATTCTCAGGTGATGAAGATGGGCCAGGTGAGTTTGAGTTGTTTTCTAGCAGGGATACTTGGCTGGACAATTTGGAGGGTTTGCATTGAATTTCTTCAGGATTAATGGCAAGTTGATAGTCTGAAGATATTAGGTCAGTTAATGGCTTTGCTGCTGCTCGGTTAGCGGCAGTGTTTGTTTCAGTTCGTCCAACCTTTTCAGAATGTCGTCTTGCTCTGTTTGGTACAGCTTCAGAGGAGGCAATTAACCTGATTTCAAGGCATCATCAGTGCCAGACCTTTCTTGTGTAAGTTCAACATGATTATTCCAACAAAGTCTTGTCAAGGTTGCTGAAGGTGCTGGGTTACTACGGTTTTTATCATTTGGCTCCTTGGCATAAGGCAGGGGAGTGTCTGCTTGCGAAGAAATGCCAGAAAGGACATTTCTTTTTTCACTGGGGAAGACTTGCAATGGATATATTTGGAAGACAGAAAGAAAATGTTTCATTTTGAACAGCATACCGGGAATGGTAGAATGGTTAAAAGACAATAAAATACATTTGTGACCTCCCATGCTAGGGAGCCATTGCACAGCTCTTAAGTCAATCATGTAACTTTGGCATCAGAGAAGTGAGCTAAGAGATAGAATAATAGCTCTTCTGGTGGACCAGCATCCGATATTAAATCTGTTGGGTGTAATACTTAGTGCAGCCTAATGTGTTTGAAGAACACAATTGCACATATTTGAACTTAACTCCTTGGCAGAAGGTGGAGCTGTGCACACTGCCTCTGATTGTGTATCCTTTCTGGTTTTAGCAAATTCTTCTAAACAGTTTTGCTTCCTTTGACTATCTATGGACAGGTCCAAATAAAATAAAATAAAATAAAATAAAGGAAATTGGTCTTGTCGTTATTACTTATGGTCTTTGCATGCATCATGTAATCTTCAATTTTTGGTTGTTTATTTAGCTTGGGCAGAGTAGATGAACCAGGGCTAGTACTGCTGCATTTCTTGTTCCTCGCCGTTGCAACAGAGGCTTTTATACTATTTCCAGGAACCTACTGATCTGCTATACAGTGTCTCTTGCAGGAGGCTTGATTTTAAAACATGACTAGATAAGAACCCATTTGCTCCTTTCATTACATCAGGCAGGCCTCAAACCTTGGTCCATCAGGGTATACCTCTCAGCCGGGTCGTACCATAGAGGACATATAGACACGACAAAGAAACTCTGATAGGACCCCAGTACTTGTCAAAATGGATGGTCGAAACCATCAGGCTTTCACACCAACTTGCCAACCTGGAGTTGCCGATACTTCCTAAAGGTCACTCGACCAGAGCTGTGGCTACCTCATTGACCCTTCGTGCCAGTATACCTGTTCAAGCCTTATGCAAGTATTGCAATCACCCTCATTTGCATGCCAAGACCCACAATAAACCCTGTGCTTCAGTGATCTTACGTTTAATCTCTTGTGATAAAGGCTATTGTATTAAGTCTCCTCTGCAGATCTCTCACTTTCTTTTTCACTGTGTTCCCCTTATTTTGTCATCACGTGATCAGTTGCTATGTGTTAGAAACACTCTTTCCTTTCCTTTGGAAGAGAAAAATATTCCAAGCATGCAGAGAGTTCTTTTTGAAACTTTATTGCAATAAAGGGAGTCAGAATGGTTTTCTTCCCTTCTTCCAACTCAGCTCAGCACATGTTCACATCCCATTTTTTATGCCCTGCCCCCCCTCCCCACTGGCCGCTTCCCCCTCCTCTTTTTCCCTTCACTGGCCAGGGTACTGAGAGGTTACAAACCTTTTCCATCCACCTATCCTGTGCCACTGATACCTGTTCTTCCCTCCCACTTGGTCCCTCCCAGGTAAATTATAATAAGCTTATTTCCTATGCAGGGTGTGTTTGTTAATAGTCATGAGGTCATTCATTGAGCAGGTTTCCTGCTGTCTCATCTATGTGACAATCCCCTCCTGTTATCTGATCTCAGCCCCCTCCTCCTTTGACTAAGGAATTTTCCTTGTTACAGGTTTCACTCTTCCTGTTTCCTTGTTTCAAATCATCATTTCATCCCTATCATTATGTCATGTGATGGTGATGATGGGAGTTGTAGTCCAACATATATGGAGGGCACTGGAATGCCAAAGCACAGCTAATGCTAATCCAGGGCTGGTGGCATTGGATTCTTCCCCACATAACAGAAGGTGGCAGAGTTGCTATATCACTGTTTTCTAACATTAAGTTGAATGTGTACTTCACTATCAGAGAGCAAAAGACATATCCTCTGGAAGGATAAAAATGGAGAAAAGTGACTACAGTGGAAAAGTGTCCTTCTCAAAATGCCATGGGTAGTTGCAGAAAAAAAATCCAAAGCACTGTGGATAGGAGATTCCTATGTTCAGAAACTAGGGATTGACACGTTCCAGATGGGGTTAAATTCCTTGTTATAAAAATGGGTATGCAGTTTGGGGATAATTCCAAATTAATCATTATAATTAGAATCCCAAGTGAATTTTGTGGAATGGTACCAGCTTCAGCTAGTATGTCTGCTCTGTCCATTCTTGGTCAGGGATAGTTTTGTGATCAGTACAATAGTAACCTTGAAACTGGATTACTGAAATTGAGGAGGTGCCCTTAAGGCTGGTTTGGAAGCTGCAGAGAGTGCGTAATGCTGCAAGGAGGCTCTTGAATGAAGTGCTTTGTCATGTGCACATACGTGTGCTTGAAGAGATTCAGTGTTGCCAGGGTTCAAAGAATTGACCTACAAAGCTCTATAGAACTTGGACCTAGTTACATGAAAGATAATTATCTCCTATATTAACCCATTTAAATAACTTACTGTGCCTGTTAACCACGATGGGGTGGGCGCTGACATCTAGCCAGACATCCTGGAATGTGAAGTCAAATGGGCCTTAAGGAAGTCTGAGCAACAACAAAGCTAGTGGAGGTGACAGTATTCCAGCTGAGCCATTCAAAATCCTAAAAGACAATGCAGTAAAAGTGCTACACTCAATATGCCAGCAAATTTGGAAAACTTGACAGTGGCCACAGGATTGGAAAAGGTCAGTTTACATTCCCATCCCAAAGAAGGGCAATGCCAAAGAATGTTCAAACTACCACACCATTGTGCTCATTTCACATGCTAGCAAAGTGATGCTCAAAATCCTACAAGCTAGACTCCAGCAGTATGTGGACCAAGAACTACCAGAAGGACAGGCAGGGTTTCGAAGAGGCAGAGGAACTAGAGATCAAATTCCTAACATATGCTGGATCATGGAGAAAGCTAGGGAGTTCCAGAAAAACATCTACTTCTGCTTCATTGATTATGCTAAAGCCTTTGATTGTGTGGATCACAACAAATTGTGGCAAGTGCTTAAAGAGATGGGAGTACCAGACCATCTTATTAGCCTTTTGAGAAACCTATATGCAGGTCAAGAAGCAACAGTGAGAACTGGACACGGAACCACTGATTGGTTCAAAATTGAGAAAGGAGTTCAGCAAGGCTATATACTGTCGCCCTGCCTATTTAACTTATATGCAGAGCACATCATGAGAAAGGCAGGCCTAGATGAATCACCAGTTGGAATTAAGATTGCTGGGAGAAATATCAACAACCTCAGGTATGCAGATGATACCATTCTAATGGCAGAAAGTGAAGAGGAACTTGATGCCTCTTGATGTGGGTGAAGGAGGAGAGTGCAAAAGTTGGCTTGAAACTCAACATTAAGAAAACTAAGATCATGGCATCCAGCCCTCTCACTTCCTGGCAAATAGATGGGGAAGAAATGGAGGTAGTGACAGATTTTATTTTCCTGGGCTCCAAGATCACTGCAGACAGGGACTGCAGCCAAGAAAGTAAAAGACGCTTGCTCCTGGGGAGGAAAGCTATGGCAAATCTAGACAGCATACTAAAAAGCAGAGATATCACCCTGCCAACAAAAGTGCGTATAGTCAAGGCTATGGTTTTCCCAGTTGCAATGCATGGCTGTGAAAGCTGGACCATAAGGAAGGCTGAGCGCCAAAGAATTGAGGCCTTTGGAGAAGACTCCTGAGAGTCCCTTGGAATGCAAAGAGATCAAACAAGTCAATCCTAGAGGAGATCAACCCTGACTGCTCCTTAGAAGGCCATATACTGAAGATGAAACTCAAATACTTTCGCCACCTAATGAGAAGGAAGGACTCACTGGAGAATGCCCTAATGCTGGGATCTGACTGCACCTTGTTTTCCCATTAAAAATAACCTTTAACATATCCAGCTTTTGTCCGTAAATCTATGGTTCTTGTGTTCTCTCCCTAGCTTCAGGCAGAAAGCAAGTGCCATCCCTCACATATTATATTATTTAATGAGAATTTGAAGCATAATTGGACAATGATATTTTTATCACCATCGGATGGTGTATAGTACACAGTGTAACATAATTAATATAATACTCATTTGACAAACCAAGAGTACAATCTGGTGCATAAACATGTTTGCATCCCTTTCATTTCAAAAACAAATGCAATCAACTGCAAACCCATCCACAGAAAGATCTTTGTGCTTGCTATCACATTGGCTCTGACTTATGGGTGACCCCATGAATGAGCGTCCTCCAAAAGGTCCTGTTCTTGACAGCCCTGCTCAGCTCCTGTAAACGCGAGGCTGTGGCTTCATGTATGGAACTGAGCCATGTCACAGATGGTCTTCCCCTTCTGCTTTTAACATTCCCCAGCAGGACTGTCTTCTCCACTGAGTCTTGCCTTCTCATGATGTGCCCGAAATATGACAGCTTCATTTTTTTTCATTTATCTTCCATGGAAAGTTGAAGTTTAATTTGATACAAGCTTCAATTATTTGTGTTTCCATTGGTCAAGGATATTCAGAAAGCTCTCCTCCAACACCAAGTTCCATATGTATCAATTTTCCTCCTGGCAACTTTCTTTACTGTCCAGGTTTCACAGCTGTACATGGTGACCCAGAGCACCCCAGTGGGGATGATCTTGGGCTTGGTCTTCAGTGAAATGTCCTTATTCTTTTCCAATTCCTTCATTGCTACTCTGCCAAGTCTCAGGCTTCAATTTTCACAATTTCAGTTTCTTCAGTGTTGATCTTAAAGTTGTTTAATTCTTCTGCACTCATTATTTTTGATAAGGTTCTGTTGCAGTCCTGTTTTTGTACTTTCCTCTTTCATCAGGAGTCTTTTCAGTTAGCTGCTACTTCCTGCCAATAAAACAGTTTCATCTGTAAATCTCAAATCATTGATGCATCTTCCATCTATTTTCACTTCTGCTATCTCTGATGCTAAACCAATTTATGATGTTTTGTGCACAGACTGAACTGATAGGAAGAGAGAGATGGGGCAGCGGGGTGGCAGCAAGCCTTCTCTGTGTTGGCACCTCTCCTCTGTGATATGTCAGCCACTGGTGATCATGTAATTTTGTGTACCATAGCTTTTCACAACCATTAACTTGTATACAAGTTGATGTGCTTTTATAAGGATGTACTGTTTTAGAATTTTTTGTAAACTGCTTTGGGATTTTTAAAATGGGAAACAGCATTAAATATTCTAAAATAAACCATATCATGCTGAGCACCATCTGGTCAGTCCCTGTGACACAACCATAACTACAATCTATGGGATATTTGTAAGTGTAATTGCAGCAGAAAACAGAAGACCAAATGCAGGAAACACATGACCTGGAGCCCATATGTTTGCTGAAGAAAATGAGGCTCAGTCATCCCTGTGGAAAGCCACTGTAACTGGAAAAGCCCTAAATGTAATTCTACTCTCCACCCAGCTTTTTGACACAATGGAAGTAAGGAATGCCCACTGCTGGGTTTGCACAGCACATGGATACAGGTGAAATATCAAGAATATTTGCAGTCTGAGTCCATAAAGAAACTGATCACCCACATGCATACTTATATGTTATGACTCTCGAGTCAGAGGAATGAGTGAATGCTGGCAAGATTGGTGGATGGGCATAAATTGGCAAAAAGAAGTTTTAGGGAAAACTTCTGTTTTGTTTTCATTGTGCTGAAGTTTAAATGTAAGGTGTTTTGTGGTGCTGAATCCTATTTCATAGTTCAGTCCAGGATGGATTTGCTGAGTAATTGTGTTTGGCCTGAAAATACTGGATAGACCTAGAGAAAAGAAAAATAAGAACCGTTATCCATTTTCTGAACTGAATCCTGATGTTCGCTCTGATGAGTGTGCTATCATTAATAAAGAGCATCAGGGGGGTTCAAGGTATAATTCACTTTTGTTTTTAATGTCAGAGTACTAAAATACTCTTGGGGCAGTGTTTTGAAGTAGCCATTTTAATCCAGTCCCCTTACTCCTGAGTAAAAAGATCCATGTCACGGTTAGGAAGAACAGCTTTAACGGTGCTCGGGTTGTTTTAGTGCATTTGCCTCTGGCTCAAACTATTTTTAGCAACTGACCTTTCTGGACCAGGCCAAACAAGTAAGGGTGCGTGACGAACATCGGGGATGCCGCTGCAGCGTCAGAAAACGCCTGCTTTGCCTGTGGGAAAAAGGCGGCCGGGAGCACCCGCCCCCGCCCCGCGCTCTCCAAGCTTTCCTAGTTATCTCTGCCGCTCCGGCAGAAGGGGGCGGCTGGATGCAAGTGGCGACGCCACGCCTCCAGCTCAGTTTGTTGACTTTCACGGTCCCGTCCCCGCGTTACTGGCCCGCGGCGTCCTCCCGCCGAGGTCCCGATCGGTCGGCGTCCTGCAATGTCTGCCCCAGCGACAGAGGGCGGTGGGCCTTCGGATGAGCTGATCTTCTATGTGAATGGCAAAAGGGTGAGTGGGGTTCGAGCAGCCGCCGGAGCGCACAAAAAGGAACCCTCGCGCGTACCTTCTGCTCTCCCATGTTTGGCAGGAGGAGAACCTCTGCGCCTCCCTCTCTCCCTGCGGGGCTCCCGCATTAGCGGAACAGCAATACACATAAAACTTCCTAAATCCGTATTGGTGCAACCGTAAAGGTCACAGAAATGCGCGAGCTTCCAGATCCCTTCATTAGGCAAAATGCTGCAAAAGCATGTTCGGGAGGTGGGAATAGAAGGGAGAACTAGACTGACTGGATGTTGAAATGTTTGCACGGTCTAGAGATGGTGCACTGGGGTTGCCGACTACGGTTGGAGCCCCAGAGCCTTCATCTGGAGGCCTGAATCTGGGAAATCATCTGCCCCAACCTGCTGTCCATGGGTTCTTGCTGAAACAAAAGTACATGGGCCCTGATGATCTCTGTGGCATCTTATCTTCTTGGGTAAACTGGATTTGTGCCCACATGTAATTCTGCTCCTGCTGCCGCACCCACTAAACCTGTCTGCCCATTTTTTTCCCCCTGAAGTCACATGCCTCCTTCTCCAGTGTATGTGCATGCCTTTTTACAAAATAGGGTCTTTTAAAGACACACGCATAGACTTTAGAGCATGTATAAATTTGTATATGCATATTTATGCATCCTCTCCCTCCTCCGCTCCCACCCCCGTGGACCTGAGTCCCTGATCTTTGTGATACCTTCCACTGCCCTGGTATAGTAAGATAATATGGTTGACCAAAAAAAAAAAAAAAAGATTACTAGAGCTGTGATTTAAATCCACAGAGATTTTAATTTCAGGTTGTTTACAGGGTAAAAGTTTGCACCTTTACTCAGTTACTGACTTAAATCAGACTTACTCCCAGGAGGTGTGCAAAGAATTGTACCCTTGGTCCAGCTGGCAATAAAACTAAGGTAATTAGAAGTGCCCAGTCCATCCATTACTTGTCCTCAAAGCTGAAGGGGAATGGGAACAGTGGGAGGCTTCCACTTAAGGCTGCCCTGGCATAGTCTACCTAATGCTAAGGAAGGCAAAGTGATGGATATACACCATAGCAGCTTCACAGGGAACTGATAAAACTTATGGTAATTATTGCTAAATATCTATCTGGGCCATTTATGGAAGATTAAGGTATAATCTTAGATTAATCAGATTAAGATATAAGGTGTGTTCCAAGGAAAGAAGAAGGTGCCTTTTCTCTGACATAAGTTAGTTATCAATATAAACCTAAAAGGATACAACTGATTCTTACAGTTTGTGTTTCATTTCTCATGCAGATAGTGGAGAAGAATGCTGATCCGGAGCAGACATTGCTGTCTTTCTTGAGGAAAAGACGTATCCTTTTCTTCTCTGTGGCAGCCCAGAATCAGGCCAATTTTTGACTCCCTTTGCCCTGGTTATTCCTTATTTCTCTGCCCCCCACCCCCCACTCACACAAACCAATGTACACTTGGCACAAGACAGCACAGATATGTCTCCTAATACATATTTTTTAAAATCGGAAATACAGTCTCAGGGAGTGGGGTATGTGTGCTCTCAATGGGAGTTACCCATCGCAGTAACTGAGCTGAAGGAGGTTGCGTAACCATTGCACACTGGCTGTTTTTGAGACTGTGTTTGCTTTTAATGCTACAGATGTTGCACTTAATTTGGATGGTTACAGATTTTTCTTAAGGCTGATGATCTTCTGTGCTGATCATATTTTATCCTTGGTTTGAGGATATTAAGTAATATGTATTTTTACTTATGAAAATTAAATGGCTTTGTTTGTAGCATTGTTTAGTTCATCGTTTTCTGATACTACTTACACTCATCTTCTGTTCACCTTTACTGTCATTTAACTTTTGAAATACTGACTTGCACAAAGCAAAGTTGAAAAGTGAGAAGCAGAAAAACTCTTGAACTCTCACCTTGGAAGCTCTTATTCTGAGTGTAATGTAAGCCCAGCTCCAAGAGGCTTTGATCCAATTATGTGCAAATTTTACTAAATGGAAAGTCTTTCTATATACAGTGAGGCTTATTCGTCCTAGTCAATGTATGCAAGGTTGTGTCCTTCATCCAAAAAGCATTCACTTTTGCTTGTTGCTATGATCTCATAAAGATGACCAGATGGCTGTGGTGCAGTCACAGGCTCTTAACCTACCCTGTCTCACAGGGCTATTATGAGGCTAAATTGGGGGCTGGAGAGCCACACATGCCACTCTGAGTTTCTTCAAGGAAAGGCAGGATAGAAATAGAGCCAATCAAAAAACAATCCTAGCCAGGTATTGACGGCAAACTTTCAAACAGCCTCCCTAGAGTATAGAATGAGACCATACACATACACTGTGGGTGTCCCTGAGTGTAGAATTTGTGTTTTGCCCTTAACTGCGACTCAGTCCGTCTCACAGGTACCAAGTATGGTTGTGGTGGAGGTGGCTGCGGAGCATGCACTGTGATGATATCAGCATATGAACGTATTACCAAGAAGATTGTGTATCCTTTTGAAGAGGCTGGTGTACTGCATGTTGCAATTAAGTCGATTGGATGGATGATTTTGCTGTTGAAATAACCGCTATAGCTATTCCATGATGTCCCCCTGTACTGAAGACAACTGTGATCTTTCCCCTTCTTGTGCAGGCAAGAAACAAAAGCCAGGATGGGTGATCCAGTTGAAGTTGCGTGTCTAGACACATAGGAGCAGGCCTCAGGTGACTCAAGGCTGAGTCACCTGAGGCAGAGAGCAGGTTCAGCATCCCAGAGCATGCTGCATCATTTTCTCCTGTATAAGTAAATGGTTTCTCTTCACACTTACCAAGAGCATTAGTCTTGGGAAAACAATTGCAGCAAGAATACAGCCTGACACTTGCAACTTTTCTACAGAAGGCGTTTGTTGCATGCTGATCTCTTGCTCTTGGAAGTTTGTGGGACCTTCATGCAATGTCTTCATCCTTCAGGCCCTCTCCTGTGTTTTCCTGTTTTTGAAACTTTCCTTTAGAGCAAAGAAAATCAGCTACTAAATTTGAAATGCAGAACAAGCTGGAATTAAAGCTTCTTGAAGGGAAACACCAAAACAGTGAAATCCAGCTTGTTTCAGCTCCGTGGATTTACTGCCTGCTTCCAATCCAATGATCAGAAGCAGGCCTGGTCTTTTTCTTTTTCCTTTTTTTCTTTTTTTAGTGGGGGCAGGGTAAATTTCCATCTCTAAGAAGACTGCAGCTCGCACGTATTTTTAACCGCTAATGCAATTTGAGAAATAAGGGAATGCCCTAACACCATGTCACTTTAGCCTGCTTTCTCCATAATCAGCCAATTTGCATAAAATCATAATATGCTCAAATTGTGATTTGCAGAAATGAGCTGATTCTGCACCAAGTACACTAGTGCCAGATGGTTTTCAGCTGCTAATTTGCATAAATGTTATTAGGAGTGCGGAATGATATGCAAATTGTGGTCCATCCTAAAGACAGAAGTCTGCTAACTGGCTCTACATGTACTACAGCATGTTAGTACCAGCACAAGTGTTAGGGTTGGAGTTAACTTTGAGGATAGGATTTTGGTAAGAAAAATATGTGTTCCTTTCATTGTCCAGAGTGCTAGAACTAGCCCTGAGAGGGCAGAAAGGCGAGTGATCAATAAGAACACCCTGAGCACTCCTTTTGCACATGTTGTCTGAAGGAAAAGGGATTACTCCTGCGTACTTGGGCTAAAGCTAAGGTTAAGGTAAGGAGTAGAGGTGAGGCTAGGAAGACATACCTTGGCACATCCTGGGGCCTGGAAATAACCTGTACTTAGCAAGTGTTTAGGGTTAAAGTAATAGCTAGTGTTAGGGTTTGGAAAACTTGGTTACTGTGCATGTCCATAGGCCTGGAAATAGCTGTGACTGGGCAAGGACTGTGAGCAGTCAACAAGAACACCCTGAGCGTTGCCTTTCTGAATGTTGTCTGAATATAGAGGGATTATGCCTTAGGTTAGGCCTTGGGTTAAGAAAATAGTACAGGCCTGGAAGCAGCCATGACTGGACAGAAAGAATGAGCAGTCTGTTGTTGTTAGTCGCGAAGTCGAGTCCGACCCATCACGACCCCATGGACAACACTCCTCCAGGCCTTCCTGTCCTCCACCATCTCCCGGAGTTCACCTAAGCTCATACCAACTGCCTCAGTGACTCCATCTAGCCAGCTCGTCCTCTGCCGTCCCCTTCTTCTTTTGCCATCTATTGTTCCCAGCATTAGACTCTTCTCCAGAGAGTCCTTCCTTCTCATTAGGTGGCCAAAGTATTTGAGTTTCATCTTCAGTATCTGGCCTTCTAAAGAGCAGTCAGGGTTGATCTCCTCTAGGACTGACCGGTTTGATCGCCTTGCAGTCCAAGGGAAATGCAGGAGTCTCCTCCAGCACCACAATTCAAAGGCCTCAATTCTTCGGCGCTCAGCCTTCCTTATGGTCCAGCTTTCACAGCCATGCATTGCAACTGGGAAAACCATATCCTTGACTATACGCACTTTTGTTGGCAGCGTGATGTCTCTGCTTTTTAGTATGCTGTCTAGATTTGCCATAGCTTTCCTCCCCAGGAGCTAGTGTCTTTTAATTTCTTGGCTGCAGTCCCCATCTGCGGTGATCTTGGAGCCCAGAAAAATAAAATCTGTCACTACCTCCATTTCTTCCCCATCTATTTGCCAGGAAGTGAGAGGACCGGATGCCGTGATCTTAGTTTTCTTAATGTTGAGTTTCAAGCCAACTTTTGCGCTCTCCTCCTTCACCCGCATCAAGAGGCTCTTTAGTTCCTCTTCACTTTCTGCCATGAGAGTGGTATCATCTGCATATCTGAGGTTGTTGATATTTCTCCCAGCAATCTTAATTCCAACTGGTGATTCATCTAGCCTGGACTTTCTCATGATGTGCTCTGCATATAAGTTAAATAGGCAGGGCGACAGTATATAGCCTTGCCAAACTCCTTTCTCAATTTTGAACCAATCAGTGGTTCCGTGTCCAGTTCTCACTGTTGCTTCTTGACCCACATACAGGTTTCTCAAGAGACAAATAAGATGGTCTGGTACTCCCATCTCTTTAAGAACTTGCCACAATTTGTTGTGATCCACACAAAGGCTTTAGCATAGTCAATGAAGCAGAAGTAGATGTTTTCCTGGAACTCCCTAGCTTTCTCCATGATCCAGCATATTTTGGCAATTTGATCTCTAGTTCCTCTCCCTCTTTGAAACACTGCCTGTCCTTCTGGTAGTTCTCGGTCCACATACTGCTGGAGCCTAGCTTGTAGGATTTTGAGCATCACTTTGCCAACATGTGAAATAAGTGCAATGGTGCAGTGGTTCAAACTTTCCTTGCCATTGCCCTTCTTTGGGATGGGAATGTAAACTGACCTTTTCCAATCCTGTGGCCACTGCTGAGTTTTCCAAATTTCCTGGCATATAGAGTGTAGCACTTTAACTGCATCGTCTTTTAGGAATTTGAATAGCTTAACTGGAATACTGTTGCCTCCGCTGCCTTTGTTGATGCTCAGACTTCCTAAAGCCCATTTGACCACATTCCAGGATGTCTGGCTCAAGGTCAGTGACCACCCCATCGTGGTTATCAGGGATGTTAAACTCTTTCTTGTATAGTTCCTCTGTGTAATCTTGCCACCTCTTCTTAATCTCTTCTGCCTCTGTTAGGTCCCTGCCATTTTGATCTTATATCATGCCCATCTTTGCATGAAATGTTTCCTTCATATCTCCTATTTTCTTGAAGAGATCTCTGGTCTTCCCTATTCTGTTGTTTTCTTCTATGTCTTTGCACTGTTCATTTAAGAAGGCATTCTTATCTCTTCTAGCTATTCTCTGGAATTCTGCATTCAGTTGGGTGTATCTTTCTCTTTCCCCCTTGCCTTTCGCTTCCCTTCTTTCCTCAGCTATTTGTAAAGCTTCCTCAGACAGCCATTTTGCTTTCTTGCATTTCTTTTTCTTTGGGATGGTCTTAGTTGCTACCTCTTGTACAATGTTGCAAATCTCCGTCCAAACTTCTTCAGGCACTCTGCCTATCAGATCTAATTCCTTAAATCTATTTGTCACCTCTACTGTATATTCATCAGGGATATGATTTAGGTCATACCTGAGTGGCCTAGTGCTTTTCCCTACTTTCTTCAACTTAAGCCTAAATTCTGCAACCAGAAGCTCATGATCTGAGGCACAGTCAGCTCCTGGTCTAGTTTTTACTGACTGTATAGAGCTTCTCCATCTTTGGCTGCAGAGCACATGGTCAGTCTGATTTCTGTGTTGACCATCTGGTGATGGTCTTGTGTAGTGTCGTCTCTTGGGTTGTTGGAAAAGAGTGTTTGCTGTGACCATCGTATTCTCTTGACAAAATTCTACTAGCCTGTGCCCTGCTTCATTTTGTACTCCAAGGCCAAACTTGCCTGTTATTCCGGTTAATAATACAACGAGCACCTCTTCAACAATGTCCCCTTGGCCAGCTGTTGCCCAACTTCAAATTAAGAAGGAAGGAAGAACGGAGGGAAGGAAAGTTACATAAGCAGAGTCAAGTCCAGCAGGGCTCAGCATGTGCATGTTGACCCAAAAGCTGACCCCAAGCTTCTGATATATTTAAAGAATTCTTTATGTTATCCTTGATGATGTGCTATGGTTGTCAACATGCTTTCTTTCATCTCTGATCATCTGCCTGCATCTCCCTTTTGCAGGTTTGTGCTCCCTTTTGTTCTCCTCTTTTGTTAAGCCTTCTGTTTCCTGAATGCAACTTTTTCTCAAGTAGCTTCCTTCATAATGCTCATTCACCATGCTCTTGTGCTCTTGGACTTGGACATTTCCTAAGTAGGGTATATATACTATTTGAACTATATATACTATTGCAGTTTTGAGTGATTTCCAAGCATTTTTAGTGGTTTGACCCTTCTGACTGCTCCTTTCAACTTGCTTTTTATTAATTCTCTCATTTCAGAGAAGTTTCCGGTTTTGAAATCAAATGTGGCAGTGTTGGACTTCTATGGAAATTTACCACTTAAGTGTATTTTAAATCTTAAAGCACAGTAGGCCACTGTTTCATATTGGTTCAATAATATTTACATCTTATGCCAAGTCTTGGGCAACTCCTTTTAGGACTGAATCCAGGATTGTCTTCTCTCTTCCCTTTCTGTGATAAATTGTTCTATAGCATTAGAACAATAAGAAATTTGTTTAGAACACTGAGAAATTTAAATCACTTTGTCCGAGCTGGAACGTGCATTTATCTAGTCAGTGTGAATGTAACTGAAGTCACCTATTATTAACTTTTTTTTTAAGTCTCTCTGATTTCATTTTCCATCTCAGAATTGCCCTGAAAGTTCTGGTCTGAGGGGTTGATAACACATTCTCAAGACTAAATTAATTCTGCAGCCAGGTATCATCTCCCATAATGCCTCATCGGAAGAATCTGCACTTTTTATATTCTCAGGGCTGCTGGACCCTATGCCTTCTTTGACACACAGAACAGCACTTCCTCCACTACAGCCTTCCCAGGCTTTCCTATAGATTTCATATTCAGAAATGGCCCTATCCTACTCTTTCTCCATTCTGACAGGTTTCTGCAATGCCCACTGTATGTAGCTTCTTTCTGAAAACCAGAAGGTGAGCTCACCTGTTTTGGCTTGGTGGTTTCTAGCATTTGCCTAGAAACATCTGTGCACTGTGACCATCCCCAGTTGATTCTGGCATGTGCAACTTCTGTTTCTAAATTTAGACTCCTATGACTGGTTATCAGGTTTTGCCATATTCTCATGGCCTATTTCCTCCCCAGTAATATTTGAGCAATCGGATGCTTTTTTATCTTCAACTGCGAGAGATGATTTCACCTGAGCTGGTCGCTTCTCAACTTTCTCCCAGGTTTCAGTCTAAAACCTGCTCTGCCACCTTCTTTCATGTTGCACCAGAAGTCTGACTCCAGTTTAGTTCCAGTGGAGCTTGATATGCATGTCTCAATACATAGATCAACTGTCAACAATCATATATGCCAAGTGATTTCTGAATTTTTGTGCATTACTAAATTTGTCTGGGACTGTCAATATTCACATCTCCAGTGCTGACTTTGGAGAAGGTCAACATTCTCCAAATTTCAGACAACAGTAACCTCTGGCAATTTGTTTTTCCCTTCATACCTGCAGCCTTCAATCCTACCCCCCCCCCAAAATTGCTCCAGAGGGTTGGGGGACCCTCCAGACCAAACTGGGAGGCATGTGGGAAGTGCAGGCACGAGAAGAGATAAAGGGAAGCCCCGTTGCATGAGCCAAAGCCAGTCTTGTGATGTTGGATTTAATCATTAGCTGTAATATATTTACAATGATAGTGAACACTTAACAATGACAAATAATCCAGTTAAATGCTATATTTATAACACATTGCAAAAATATTGCCCTTTACAACCAAAGACACTATTCAGTCAATGCCTGCTTGATTCCTGTGTGTTCACTCTATGGCACTGCAGTCATCACTGTGGAAGGTGTTGGAAATGCAAAAACCAGGATACATCCAGTTCAGGTAAGTGTAGGCTGTGGCTTTTGGAGGGGTTTGCTTTCCTTTAGGTGATCATCAGTGGTGTGAAGGTTTATTGTTGGGCACCATCCAGTTCTTTTTCATGGCCTCTGGGCATCGCACTGAGCCTCAACTTGGGAAGCTTCTGTAGCTGATGAGCTTTGGCTGAAGCCCCTTCCCCATCTGTTTGTCCTAGTGTGTTCCTCCGTATTCCCTCAGTTCCTCTCTGACCAGCATTGAGCTAGGAAATCACCTTTCGGATGAATTTTTTCAGTCTTTGTTGTTGTCGCTGGTCACAGTCGCGTCTGACCCATTGTGACCTCATGGACAACATTCCTCCAGGTCTTCCTGTCCTCTACCATCCCCCAGAGTCCACATATTTGTCTCTTATTATTTAGGGATATTCTGTACTTCTTCCTTTATTTTCATCGAATCATAGAGCAGTAGAGTTGGAAGGGGCCATGAAGGCCATTGTGTCCCAGCCCCTGCTGTTGCAGGACGTCACGTTGCACCATCCCACTCAGATGGCTCTCCAGTTTCTTTTGAATGGCTCTAGTGTGGGGGAGCCCACCACCTCTCTGGGCAGCCGGTTCCTCTGTTGTATTGCTCTGACAGTGAGGAAGCTTTTCCTGATGTCCAGCCTGAATCTGGGTTGTCGCAACTTGAACTGATTGTTCTGTGTCCTACACTCTGGCATCAGCAAGAAGAGATCTTAACCTTCCTCTTTGTGACAGCCTTTGCGGTACTCATAGAGGGAGGTCATGCCCCCTCCCTCAGTCTTCTCAAAGATTTTGGCAATCTTTGATTGCTCTTCAGCCTCTGAGATTCATGGCCTCCAAGGTGACCTTGTGGAAATGTGTTCACTGCAGCAGTAAGTGTCCACCTGTGCACACTCACTCTCTGCCTGTTTGAGAGAGGACCATCTCATAGACTCTTGTCCACATGGTATGACCTTCACTAAACAGGCCAGAAGAAGCTGGTTGGAGAGACTGAAGACTGCTCTTTGGGAGAAAGTGTGGAAGCAGTGAGGGCAGCTGTGCCATCAGCCACACCTACAGCAAACAGGCTGCAATCTTCTCCTTTTTCTGCTGCCTCAGCCCTAATCATGGACTAAGTAGACCTGCTGACACCAAGCCAATCTCTGGTAGACTTCAGGGCAAGAAAGTATTGAAACAGCACATTTCACTGCCTCACTGGACCAGAAAAAGAACTCTGCATCTCCTTTAGAGTGGTCACAAGAACCTAAACAGCAGCTCCCCTCTCGCCTTGCCAGCCCCACCACTATTAGACTTTCTTACTCAAGCCAAGCCCAGTATCAGAAGTGGTCCCAATTCCTCAACCTCTGAAAGGGAGATTAGAGACAACTTTCCCACACAACTGCAAGATCTCCAGGAATCTCACTCCAGCCCTATGCATGCCTCCCACTACCACTCAACCCCACCATGAGGGCACCAGTGCCAACATCACATGATGAGTACCAGTACCGGAACAGATCCTGGTTGCCTCCATTTGAATGGGAGTGAATCTTGGACTGGTAGCTTCCACCTACTACCACATATTATAGATGCGATTATGGAGGGACACAGGGATCTGTAGAGTTGTGGCCAAGCACTATCCGCATAGGCTGTGCCACAGCTCATCACACTGATCTGGGTGCTTTTCGGTGCCCTACATTTCCTTTGCTGTATAGGTACTGCATTTGACTCGTCATGGCACCATCCACTGATCATCCCTGTTGGGCAGACTTCCCCAGGAGCTGCCACCCTTTCTCACTCATATACCTCCCAGCCTGGTCCTGAGGCCAGTGCAGACAACTGAACCTGAGTCACTCCACTGATGATGATTATCAGTCAGACTCAGTGCCATATTCATCAATGGCCCAACTGATGCCCTGACCATATGATCAGGTGATGCTCCTTCCCCCGTGGAGGGTATGGACCACTTCACTGACTAGCTCCTTCACTACCACCACAACCAAGGCCCTTCATATGACTCTCCATATGGACCTGCCTACCGTCCAGGTATCTGTAGGGGTGGGAGCAATTCTTCACTGATGCTCCAGAGTCCACCAACTGTACCTTCCAGACCTAAGTGGCTATTTATTTGCGGGCTCAACTTGAGGGACTCCTGGAGCCATCTGCTTTCACTGTTTTGTCACTGTGCTGATCCAGCTCTCCTGCTCCCATGTTCTCCAGTTCTCTTTCACTGTCAGATGTTAAGTACTATGAGTCCGAAACAGAAACAACATCCTCCATTGCTCTATCATCTTGCTCTGTGGACGTGGCTGTGGATACCAAAGACCTCACTTCTCCACCTACAGACATGGGTCATTTTTCTGATCACATACGGAGGATGGCCCAGGCCCTCAAACTCCTTGCACAGCTGCAACTGGAGAGTGTCAGACACAGTTTTCAATGCTGTGTGGACGGAGGAATTGATGTCAGCCACCATCCCCTCCTTCCTCCCAAACCTACAGCAGACCATCTCACACTCCTGGAAGGCTCTGTCCACAGTGACATCGACATCCAATTGGCCATATATGTGGTACAGGAGAAGGACATGGCATTCCTTTTTCAGCACCTCAAGTTGAGTGTGATCAGCGCAAGGAAGGTCACACTGGGAGTACTCCATGGTGTGCAACAGTGACTGATGCCACCTGGATACTCTGAGGAGTCAAGGTGGCCTTTGGGACTCATGGTGGCCAGTGACCAGGCTCCCATGGCAAGGTAGCTGCTTCTCCTCTGGGAGTGGCTGGAAGCTCTCTCTGACCACCTGCGGGAGCAGCAGAGGGATCTCACCAGAGTTTTCCAGGCTGAGGTGGTGCTGTTCTCCTGAATGCAAATCAGCAGTGCCAAGCACCAGGCAGACTGTGACATGAAGACTATGACTTGGCATTGCCTGGTTGGTCTCGTGTGACTTGAGGGAAAGGGCTGGAACTCCTCCCCTTTATAATGGACACCAAAAGTTCTCAGCTGTGGAAGTTTCCTGAATCAAAGCTCTGCACAGGCAGCGCCGACACATGTGAAGACACAGATAAGCACTCAGAGAATTCCTGTTGCAAGTAAGCAACTTGGCTTTCTTGAGCCTGGATCCCGAGGACTCAGTGCAGTGCTGCTGAGGCCCACAGTGCAGCCCTTAAGATCAGTGCGGACATGGAAATGCCCATCCCATTCTCGTTGTTTTATGGCTGGGCTAAATACGCAGCAGTACAACAGGCCATGACAGATCATAGAATAGTAGAGTTGGAAGGGAGCATGAAGGCCATCAGGTCCCACCCAAACAAGAAGTTTGATCTTCCACCAAGCAAGTAGCGCTTTCATCTTGGTAGGCTGTCTCCGCTCAGAATGTGCAGATGTTCCAGCTGTTCACTCAGATGGGCAAAACTAAAGTGCTGGGCTGTATGGTAATAATGCGATAAAGGCAAAACAGCCAACAAGCCTATGGAAATGCTCTCGGTGACCCCAGAGCTAACATCAAATGTAGTGACTCATCTGTGGGTACTCTTCGTGCTGCTGCTCCTTTTCAAATACTTCATGACTTGTGTCTGTGGAACTCCCTGCCTCAAGGCTGCCTCAAGAATAAAAACCTTTATCCAAAACAATTCTTTGCATCTTACATTCAGCAGTAGCCTGGTAACTAAGGCAGAGGCATGGGTCTGACACCAGCATTATAGACAATATATTAAAGGCTTTATATGCATAAGGAAGCAATGTTGTTTTTCAAATTATAGGATCAGAATGCTTAAATGTGCTTTAATTTTCCTTCGTTATCACACCTGGTCAGAGAGTCTTTCCTGCTAATCAGCTCCCAATAGTTTTCCCATCATATGAAGCGTTCCTTCACTTCACCCCAGTCAATTCTTCACAACAGGAACAAATGCTGTTCAACGTACTTCGCCAGCTTTCACCTCTTCCCGTTGCCTCTGTCTTCTGACATGAGGCAACCGTTTCAGGGATAACTTCCTGAAGTTCTCTCTGGTCAGACTGAATCGACCTGGTGCAGGCCTCTGCTGCATGATTAAAGTCTTACTGTACCTTCTTCAGTTGCCCACGGTCACCAGGCCTGGACTTCAGGCCTCTGTCCAGTAGAAAAATATCAGAATGAGTTTCCTTCTTCCCACCTTTTGGTTTCCTTCAGCTAATAACCATTAATGTCACATGTTGACAACAGACACTAGCAGACTTCTCACTTAACTATTTAAATCTCCTGACCAATTGTGTTCCTTATGGAACCCCAGCTGGCATTCACTTTTGTTGAACCATTTGACAATAGAAATGAAGGTTACTCTCCCCCTCAACATTTTGAACATAGCCTGAAACCGCCTTTCTTAAGTCAAATCAGTGCAATAGCAAAGCTAGCCCTCTAGCTTGCTCAGTTACATGATAACATCACAGAGGTCACACAAAGATTGGATCCACCAGTAAAGTGGCTGCATCATATATGCCCAAACGATGCCCAGAGACTCTTGTAAGACTACCTTGTGGGTGATTTGGCTGCTGCTTTTACACTTTGCAGCTTTCAGCTCTTGCTAGATTGCGTATTATGGTTGTAAGTTTTAAAAGGTTAGTTCTTGTTTTGAATTGTTTTTGTCACCTTTGAACTGCCCTGAGGAGATCTTTGGATCCGAATGGCACGATATACGTAACAATAACAAAGAGTTTGTGGTATATATAAGACTGACACAATTATGAGAACATATGATTTAATGGACTAAAGTACACTTCATTAGATGCATGAACTGTTATGTTCAGTTACTAGTATTTATACACAAATGCATTAAAGGGAAGGATTGTAAGCACTGAGGTGAAAGAGAAATCCAATGCAGTCAATGGCTCTATTTACATGTAACAGTTACGTGCTATGAGCAAACTGCTTCTGCGTTGCATAATTGGCCTGATCAGTTCTAACATGTGAACCTGGGCACTTATAACTGGGTCCACATGATTATTGCAGCCCTTACAGTGCAGTGATCATCATGCGTACTTTTGAATACTCAAGCTATGACAGGTAGTCATTACAGCTTGTCATAACATGTGCATCCAGGTTGGTTGTGAATAAGGATGGTTTATATGAGGGTTATATAAAATAACCTGTGGGTTATGCAAGGGCTGTTTAACCCTCACATAAGCCACACTTGCTGGGTCTGCATGTCATGATAAGCCCCACCAACTGCCCACCACAGCTTAAATATTGAAAATGGCCACCAGCTCACACTCCAAGCCACCATGACTTAAATAAGTCATAATAGGCTGTAGCAATCATATGAACCTGCTTGATGGGTTATCCCTGGACTAAATTAACCTCAAAACTAATAATAGATTAACTATGAGTAATTTAATACACAAATAAACCATAGTATGTGGATTCATGTATCATGCAACAGCCTAAAGTTGGGCTGATTAGAAGTTAATTTTGCAAAACAGCAGGGATACACACATGTCAGAATTGTGAATTACTTAATTAATTGATGATTTACTGTCATTATATGTGAACCAAATCAGTGATCATTACCTTATTAATAGCAGCCATTCACAAAAGGGGGCTTGGGGGTACTATTACATGCACTTATACCTTAGTGCAATAGACAAACCCTTGTCCCTGTTCAACCCACAAGAGCTAGATGCCCTCACAATATGCCGGCATTTTCATGGCTGCATTAGAAGACTGTTCTCTTAGCTTCTGCACCCAAAAGTCTTTTTTCTACCTGAGATACATGGATGAGATATTTATTATCTGGACTGATGGACAAGAGAGTGGTCATGTGTCCCCTTACAAAGGGTTGTTCCATTTAAAGAGAAAGCACCCTAAGAAGGGGGAGGTTAAAGCCGTCTTGAAGTTGTCCATTAGCAATGATCATCTGCACAGGCTGCAGGATCACAGTCTTTCCTACAATGGTGAGATGAATTTCTGTTTGAAGTGTAGTAGTTACTTTCAGATTTACATCTATACATATAAATGAGTATATGCACATTTTAGGTGCTGTCCCTTTTTGCTCTCTTTCTTGGTGGTGCATGTCTTCTTTGGCCATTCAGACGTAGCCACCCTAAGCCCTGAAGTTCTACCAAGACTCCAATACCACTATCAATTTGATCCTAGGCAGTCCAGGCAACAGGATTACTTCATGCATCTGAGGAAGTACATTGCAGTCTACTAAAGTGTATTAAATGTGTTAGTCTTTAAAGTGCCATGAGATTCTTCGTTATTGCTGCAAGAGACTAATATGGCTGTCTCTCTGGAAACGGATATAAGCAAATAGTTGTGTTCTGAGCATGGGACTGGACTACTTTGGCATTCAGTGCATTGCATGTGCGGCCCTCCTATCTTTGGCATGGTTTTGCTCCGATCCCTCCTATGTTGCTTGGGACACTTGCACTATATTTTGGTCCCATGCTTTATAATAATCAGCTCATCGCAATATATAACCTGTGTCAGAAATTGTCATGAGGTCATAACTCACGTATCCAATTAACTCACATAGCAGCAGGCAATAAAACTAAAGTCTACAAATAAAATTTCTACAAGATTTACGATACAACAGATAAGCACTAATGATGTTCTTAACAGGTCAGTTGCCTTCCCCTTTGTGAAGACTCTGGCGAGCCCACGTGGTATTAGCTTTTCCTGTCACGTCTTTCCGCTCTTGGGTGGGACAAACCTCTGTCTTGTGTTCCCTTTTGTTCCAATCATCTTAGGCTACGTCTAAGACTAGCATTAACTAAAGATGGCATGCCTCCTGTATCTCTTGGACCCTGTACCCTCCAGGAGGTGGGGGGGTATCTTGCTTGTGCTCCTGAGAGCCAGAAGCCCGTTCAGAAGCCTCATGATCAGGCCGTGACGGGGCTGTTTGTTCAGAGGGCAAAGGGTCAGGATGTGGGGGAGCTATTTGTTCAGTCGTTCCAGAGTCGGGCTGTGGAGGGGCCGTTTGGCTACTGGGCCCCAAGTATAAGTCATTTTGCTCTAATGTCTGATTCTCATTTTGAACGTTTGACTCATTCTCGTGAGGTGACGTCTCTGTCGAGCCGCCAGGCACGACAGAAATGCACGATGCGGATGGGGGACTGCTGTGAGGTTTCATGAACAGTAAGCCAAGTTATAGCAACCTGTGCGACCAATTCAGCCTCATCTTCTGCTTCATTAAGCATAAAGAGGTGTTTGGGGTTTTAAAAAACAAATGTAGATAAGAGAATGTGGTTATTCTGTTGCAAAATTTGCACTGATGCAGGAACGGATTGCTAAAAGTCATGGATCTCAATGTGGCTTCTGCACCCCTGGAATGGTGATGTCCATCTATGCTTTGCTGCGCAACCAAGTTGAACCTACATCAGACCAAATAATGGAAGCCCTAGCTGGTAAACACATATCTTTTTAATCCCCAGAGATATTTGTTGTATGCTGCTTTTCACGGCTTTTCTTTTTAACATACTGTATATATTCAGAATTAAAATTGCACTGTGCTTCAGTGTTCTTGTTCTTGTATTTTATAGGTTTTCTTGGATTCTTTTTCTTTTCTTTTGAAAGGTTTAAAAAGTTATAAATAAATAGATGGATATAGTTTAAAATGTTAAATAAATAGATAAAATTAAAGGTTAAGCTGTTGTTATCCTCTTAAAGTATCAGGTTTGTACTTTGGGGGACTCCTGGATCAAATGCTGTCACTAGAGGGCAAATTGATAGTGGCATGATGTCTTGGTGGAAATTCTCTGGAGCTTTGGATGGCTACTTATGACCCTAAGACCATCCTCAGTAGACCTTCTGAAGGAGTTCCTGCCAGGGGAAGTCAGGGGGTGCTACTAGGAAGAGGGCTTTTTCTGTTTGGCCCCCAGCTAAGGAATGAACTTCCCAGGATACTTGCTGGGCACCTACATTGTGCTCTTTCTGGTGCCATGTGAAGACTTCCTTATTTTCCCAGGAATACTCCTGTGGATTTTAGTTTCAGTCTGTTTTAAATTCTATATTGCATGTTAAATCTTTGAACTGCTGTTAGGACTTACTCTAGTTCTAACTTTTATTTTATACCGTAGCATTAACTATTTAAATGTTTGTTCTATATTTTATGCTGTGTTTGATGTTTACAATTGTTTTAAATTGTTGTGAATGACCCAGGGAGCTATTGAATAGTATAAAAATGTAACAATAAATAAATAAATTCCACTAAAAAGTGAACTCCATTGTCTTCTCTTAAAAGAAATAATCAGATTTATTTTATGGTTCAATTAGGTAATTTATGCCGCTGCACTGGTTACAGGCCTATCATTGATGGTTGTAAAACCTTCTGTAAGGTAGGTATATGTGTGAGAGAGAACCAAGAAAATGAAACATGGAAGCTGAGTATACAATGCTGAGTGTACAAAGCTGAGTATACTTCTATTGTAGTAGGACTGCGGAATTTGGAGAAAGGGCCCTGGCTCAGTAGCAGAGCACATATTTTGCTTGCAGATGGCCCAGTTTCAGTCCTTGGTATCTCCAGGTAGGACTCAGGAAGACCACTGTCTGAAATCTTTAAGAGATGCTGCTAAAGATGGTTTACAAGACTGAGCTAGACAGGGTAAGCTTCCTATTTTCTGTGGAAAATTCGGCCAAAAATGAGTGTGAAGAGTATTGGTGGATAGCTAATGCTTGCTAATGTAAGTAAGTGTAGGCAAGTATGTGTGTATTTTGAGCTGAAAATTAAAGGTAGCAGGAAAAGTTAGATTCCGACTTCTGTGACCTAGATTTGTTATGTGCTGTCAAGTCTTCTCCAAATTATGGCAACCCTATGTGTGAAAGCTTCCCAGTCTGCCTGATCCATGACAACTTTGTTCAACTCTTGTAAATTCAAGGTGGTAGCTTCCTTTATGGAATCAATCCATTTTCAGGAGTGCCTTTGTCCACATATCCCTCTTCACCAGCTTACGTGCTGTGGGGATAATCTTCTATAGTTTGCTTCTGTAAGATTAATGTCAAGTACCCAGAAGACTTTCTGAGTGGTTGCCCCTAAATTTTGGAATGCTTTGCTGGGAGAGAGATGTCTGATATCCCAGATTGCTATTTTTAAGGGGAAGATAAAGATGTATCTCTTCCAACAGGCCTTCCCAGCTTAGTTCTCAGATCAGTTTTATTTAATACTTTTTGCTTTTTTAGTCAAATTTTATCCATTGTTGTTTTTCATTTCTTGTAAAACAACCAGAGCCTATGAGAATGGGGTGGTATATGAAAATGTAAATAAATAGATAGATTTAAGATCTTATATTTGGTCTTCATTTTCTTTTTCTGCCTTCTACTTTCCCTAGCATGATTGTCTTCTCCAGGGAGTTTAGCTTTCTCATGCTGTGCCCAAAATATTACAGTTTCAGTTTTATACAGTTGGTTATTTTCAATAATGTATTGAATGTTCCTCCCCGTTAAAACCTGAAGAGGAACAGAAACTTGCCTGTGTGGCACTGCTTCAGATCACTGAATTCTTATTCATTTCCCTCTCTGAATCAGAAGATCTTGCCAGACATGGACTGGATTCAGGCCATACTCAAGGGTTGAGTGTTGTTTGGGTGTCAGTTGTTGTTGAACTGCAGGTTATTAGGGAAATGTGGGCTATTGTACTGTCTGAATTCAGCTGTACTAACTAGCTGATCATCACAATCTACCCATGAAAAGAACCCATGGTTTGTTATTGGATTGTGAATTGTGGGTTGTTCACCATGGTTTGTTTTCTCAGCTGGGTTCAGACAACATGGTAACTCATGTTTCAACAACAGCTCAAGGATAAACCCACACTCAGCCTCTTGAGTATGGGCTTTTTATGTTGTCCAAACCCAGTCATTGCCTCAATATGCCAAGTTTCTTCATAGTCCTAAGGTAAGGGTGAGCAACTTATAGTTCTCCAGAAGTATTAACCTTGGACTTTCATTATCCCTTACCATTTGCTCTGTTTGTTGTAGCTGATGGGAGTTGTAGTCCAAAGATCTAAAAACAGATGCCACCAGCTAAAACTAAGTCGTTTTAAGTTTCATTCACATGCTTAAGGAACTGCCTTGAGATGAGCAGGACTGAAAAGTGAATTCCTTGGCTGGCTGGCTGGCTGGCTGATGCACTCACTTTAAAGAAAGAAAGAACAGGCTGCTAGGATGTTGAATGCCAAACTTTGCTTGGATAATAATTACAAAATCTTACTACACACATCTCTAAATGTAGGGCTAGGGTCAATTCCATTCTTAGCTAAAATATTTCTTTACTAGCTAAAAGTTCAATCCAAGGCTTTATTAGGTCAGTAAAGTTTTTCCTCTTTTTGCTAATTCTGATATTGTTGTAATGTCATTTAACTGGATTCTATTTTTAGGAACCATTTTGTTGCCAAAGTAAAAAGAATGCGGGATGTTTCTTGGATCAGGAAGATCATTTATCTTTGTTACCTAGTGAGGACGAAAAGGTAAAAGTTACAGATTAACATACTCCTCCTTTCTTTCTTATTTGATTCCAAAACTTACATAAAAGAAAGCGTGTTTTGCTTTTTCTTTGTGCAAGTAATATCATTCATCATGTCTTCACTTTTACAATAGGATAAAAAATTAATATGAAATAAAATATAATAATGCACAAAGACAGAGAAGCACAATAACAAGTATTAGAGGAATAAAATAAGCACAGGCAGTTATAATCTCTGCAAGCCCAGGTAAACCAATGACTTTGGAACAATGCCATGTATTGATTATTTGTCTTAATAAGAAGTTATAAGTGGGTATCAAGAAGCACAATAAATCCATCTCTGCATGTTGTTTTCTGTTGATACCTGAACTATGACTTAGTTTGTGCGGTATACTTATTTATTTATTTATCTTTATTTCTGCTTGTATGCCACTACTCTGGCTCGTATCTGGGCTCTGTGTGCGGTTAACAATACTTAAGATCACACAACTTTCTGAAATCAATAATATTAAATGTTGGAGTGTTGGACCATCTTCAAAGGCAGCCCTTCACAGAGCACATTACAACAGTCTAACTGGGATGTTAGCAAGGTGTGTGTAACTGTGGCTAAGTTTTGTCTGTTGAGATAGGTCCATAATCGGCAGAATTAGCCACCGTTGAAAGAAGGTGCTCCTGGCCACCGAGTCCCCTTGGGGCTTGAGTGAGTATTATATGAATCTAAGAAATGCCCTGGAGCATCCCACCATACGGTATGCTGTCTTCAAGCGCAGGTGGTGTTAGGGACGGCGTTTAGGATGCAGCCACGGGGGGTGGTGGAGGACAGGAAGGCTTGGAGGAATGTTGTCCGTGGGGTCGCGATGGGTCGGACGCAACTTCGCGACGAACAACAACGACACTTTTAGCACTTCTCCCTGCCACTGCATCGACTATACCCACCCTACCAGATGGTGCTGGTCCCAGTAGCAGCCGTTCACAGTGACGAATGCCAATTCTGTAAGGCCAAATCCGAAATTTATTCAACTTAAAATGTAGATTTAACAACATCACCTCTTTTTATTTTACTCCAATTTCACATGCTTTTCAGAACTTTTACAGTCAAATGAAATACACTTACTATCTGTCTACTGTTTCTTAAAGATTTGTACAAGACTGTTCTCTGCAGAAGAATTCCAGCCCTTGGATCCCACCCAAGAACTTATATTTCCACCTGAACTCATAGTAAGAAGAATTCTCCTACATACTACATAGATTTTAGATTTCAGGGCAATGTTTTAAGATATAGCTACTGGGTAAGGAATAAGCATTATCATCTCACTGCTCTGTTGTGTGTCTCCATGACAGCATGCTATACTATTACAAAGCTCCTGAAGACAGGGTGAACCTACCAGTTGACGAATGATCATTTTGACATGCACTGAAACAAAGAGACAAATACTTTGCCAGCCCTGAATTTGCTAACAAATAGTTTATCCGCTGTCATACTTGTCAAAAAGGCTATACAAATGTTTTTCTCCTAAGACAATTTGAAAAACAGCTTTCAAATCTGTACTGATCCTGCATATTTCCTTGAGGTTTTAACGATCTTTGGAATTATCTATAGAATCTCAAATTGAGCAAGCTCAGAAACAAAACACAGTAAAAGTCTCCTTTCTATGAAACTCTTAGCATGTCTTTGAACTGTTCAAAATGCTTTATGCAATCCCTATAGCAGATTGTCTTGTGATAATAGGTTAACAGGGACCAAACTCCCCCTACTCCTGCTTCAAGTAGGCTCCAGTGTGGGGTTTTTTTTTTGCTATGTGGGGGTTTTTTTTGCCTCAGCCCCCAGTGTGGGGGTTTTTTTTGCCTCAGCCCCCACTGCCATTCCCATGTCCTGACCTAGAGCCCCAGGGGTGGCAAATCTTGCCTGCTTGCCAGGCCAGGCCAGGCCACATGGCCCAGCAGGCATCTTGCTTTGACACGAGGCTTCTGCTGCAGGTGCGCCATGCTGTGTGCTTCAGTGCGCAGGTTCCAGGCAGACTGGTGAGCAAGCAGCAGCAGGGGGTGGGGGGGTGTACTAGGAGGCTTACCCCGCACCCGCAGCCTCTTTTACATGGAGTGAGAGGAGTGCCACGTTGTCCTGCATCTCTGTCAAAGTATCTTGGGCCATCCCCCTGAGGGGAACAGTTCCTTGAGTGCAGCAGCCTTCTGCTCTAGTAAAACTTCATTTCTAAGAGGAAACCAGTGAGTGGAACTGACTAGACTTCAGGGTACCTGCTGTGAAGGACTGAGAAGGATGAAATCATCTTTCATACGTATGCCTGTGAGCGATTTACTTGCAAGCAAGCATTCCAGTCCACTGTTTAAAGTGAAGTTTTTGATATCTGTCCAAGTTTTAAAAGCGCATTGCTGGACAAGTGGAATTCCCAGGTACCCAGCTGAAGACAGACTGCGGCCACTATCCGGTGAAGTCTGCCCTTTTATATATACTGATGCAAAATATAACTGTTCTAGCCAGGAATATTTGAATTTTACCTTTGGGTAGGTATATGGGAAAGGCACACTAAGCAAATAAATGCAAAGGAGAATGCATCAGCATTTCAGAACATTGAGAGGCTTGGCTACTCTCTCTGATGGCCAGAATGACAGCTCCAAGGGAAGCGAGAAGTTCTTCAGTGAGCTATTCATTCCCTAATTATGAAGACTGTGAATGGAATCCTGACACTTTCCAGAAGATGAGTGTTCATAATTTAAATTCTGAATCTGGCTTGTTTTTCCTTCAGAAAATAGCTGAAAATCAGACAGTACAAACTCTTACTTTCCACGGGGAAAGAACCACATGGATTTCTCCTGTAAATCTACAGGAACTTCTAAAACTGAAAGCCAGGTACCCCAAGGCACCTCTCGTCGTAGGGAATACTTGCGTGGGTAAGTAGAGATTAATTTTGTACACAGCAGAAATGTTCCTTCTTCACTGCAATCTCCTTCTACGTTCTCCTTCTCTGTGTACCCCCCCCCCCCCCGTCTCAAAAGAAATCCTTTGCAAATGATTGGATTATAGGTCAGGGTTTCATATGCAGCTGAAAAGCTCCTTTGCTGTGATCTGATCTCTGTGATTAACTTTAGCATAAGGTGTTACCTTAATGCCAGGACAGGTAGCACTGCAAGTGAAGTCCTATTTTCAGTAAAGCTGCAAAGTCACATAGCGGTTGTTTTCCCCGTGGTGATACCCTTAATTCTGAATACATTTTCAGGGGAACTCCATTTGGTTTCAAATGCTCCTTTCTTTGTATACCTTTGGCCAATGGCTAAAGCCATATCTGTTTAATCTTTTTGATGATAATCATGCTTGTTTAATGTACTGGCACTTAATTTTTAAAGACAGCATATTTTATTTTTTGGCATGTTTTCCTCATTAAACATTCTTAATAGCTCCTTCCTAGTTTTCAAATACTATATGTCCATTCTGTGAATTAGCAAAGTGGTTCATAAACCAATTTGGTTTCTTTATAAAGAAATTGATAATTTGTCTCAAAGAAGAGCATTTAAATGGCAATCAAGCACCTTTCCCTCCCCTGCTTCCCTCAGTCTCACTGTTGTCTTCTGTCTCTTAGGAGTTGAGATGAAATTTAAAGGGGCCTTCTATCCCCTTCTTATTTCGCCCACTAGAATACTGGATCTGCATGTGGTGGAACACACAAAGGATGGTCAGTAAACATCATCTTTCCCCTTTGGAACTCATGTGACTGACATAACATTTTAAAAGCAGTAGGGGAGGTTTGACGGTGCTCGGTAGATTATATGTCTTTGTCTCAGGGTGACCTCTGAAAAAAAGAAAAAGAAAAATAGCTGTTCAAGTTTTCAGCATGGATTAATCTGAACTAGGAATGTGAAGAACCAGCTGGAATCAGGCTCTCTTCTGCTCCCTTCCCACACTCATCCCTGGCCAGCAAACGAGACAAGATGAGATCGGGTCCAGGAACTCTCGGGAATGCTAGCAGCTTCTTTACACAAAGGATGCGACTTTTTCTGCAAAGTACGCAAAGTCCACAAGTCGTGTGCAGAAGCAGAACTCTGCCAGCACAGTGGGCATGTGGGCAAAGTGTGTCCAAGCTGGCGTCCCAGAGTCTTGGGCTTGTTTCCACCTTACGCTCACGTGAATGCTCAGCTCAAGGTGGACTTCAGGCAGAGAGAAAGGGGGCCAGAGTCTGGGGAGCTGAGCTGAGGAAATTCAGTGGATTCCTACCCCCAAACTGGATTGCTCACACACTGATGGCCTGAACTGGAGCAAAGTGTTGGGAAGAACAGCACCGTAAACAGTGGTGCCAGGATATTACTCTTGTTTCTCCCCCAGTCTCTCTCCATCTTTTTTTTAAAGTCGACAGACTTAATTTATAGGAAATGTACATAGAAAGGTGGGGCATGCTTTCTTTCAATATTACAAATTTGCAGGCACCAAACCTGGCCCCATCCCCAAAAAAGGATCATGAGGATGTGCAAGACTAACAATTGAACTAGCGCCCGGTTTGATGTAATGTATCTGCATAAAAGACCCTATGAAGCGGAGGCCACACCTTGGGCAAAACCCCTCTGTGACCAGCGCTGGCGCGTCATGTCTGTCCACACCCTTTACCTGTTAAAACGAACACTGCCTTCAGACACTTCCCTCCACCCCGCCTGGCCAAAGGCAAGGTCCACCGTGCCTTTATGCCACAGGAAAGCAGAAGGGGACAAGAACGCAAGTCGAGTCCTGCTGGACCAGAGCAAGGGTCCCTCTTCCTGCACTCTCAGGATCTGCAGAGCAGCACTGCTCCCTTTGGTGGCTTGCAGCCTGGTGCCCTTTGCAAGCACAGGCAGAACTAGAATCAGGCCTGTGGGTGCTTGCAAAAATCGGAACCACTGCAATTATAGTAACTGGTCAGGAGGCACAGAAGAAGCAATGAATGGCTCCTCAGCCCCAGAGTGAGTCTTGGACTCACCGTTTGTGACTACTTTGTGCTCCTGAGCTGGTGGCTCCTTCAGTCCTTGCAATGTCTTTATCTGTGCCTTGACCTCACCCCCCCCCCCCCCCCCCCCCCCCCCCCTCTCCCCCCCCCCCTCCTCCCCCCCCCCCCGCCCTTGCCTCTCGCCAGGCGG